TCACCTGCCACCATTAAATCAAGAACAGATGAACAATTGAAATAGACCTATAACACTTAAGGAAATAGAAGCAGTCATCAAAAATCTCCTAAACAAAAAAAGCCCAGGTCCAGATGGCTTCAGTGCAGAATTTTACCAGAAATTCAAAGAACAGCTTACACCAATTCTCCTCAAAGTATTCCATGCCATAGAAGCAGAAGGGTCTTTGCCAAACTCTTTTTACGAGGCTTCAATAACATTGATACCCAACCCACACAAAGACACAACTAAGAAAGAGAACTTTAGACCAATTTCCCTCATGAATATTGATACAAAAGTACTCAATAAAATATGGGTAAATCGCATCCAGGAACACATCAGAAAAATTATCTACCATGATCAAGTAGGCTTCATTCCAGGGATGCAGGGATGGTTCAACATACGAAAATCTATGAATGTAATCCACCATATAAACAAGCTGAGAAACAAAACTCACATGATCATCTGACTAGATGCTGAAAAACCCTTTGACAAAATCTAACACCCATTCATGATAAAGGTCATGGGGAGATCTGGGATAACAGGAAAATACCTAAACATAATAAAAGCTATATACAGAAAACCAACAGCCAACATCAAACTGAATGGAGAGAAACTCAAGGCAATTCCTCTAAAATCAGGAACAACACAAGGCTGTCCCCTTCAATATTGTACTCAAAATTCTAGCTAGAGCAATAAGACAACAAAAGGAGATCAAGGGGATACAAATTGGAAAGGAAGAGGTAAAACTTCCAATATTTATAGGTGATATGGTAGTTTACATAAGTGACCCAAAGAATTCTACCAGGGAACTCTTTCAGCTGACTAACACCTTCAGCAAAGTGGCAGGATACAATATCAACTCAAGAAAATCAGTAGCCTTAGTACATACAGATGATAAGACAGCTGAGAATGAAATCAGAGAAACAATACCCTTTACAATTGACACAAACAACATAAAATACCTGGGGGTAATGCTAAGCAAACAAGTGAAAGACCTGTATCAAAAGAACTTTGAGTCTTTAAAGAAAGAAATTAAAGACACCAGAAAATGGATAGATATCTCATGCTCTTGGATAGGTAGGATCAATTTGGTAAAAATGGCAATCTAGACAAAAAGAATCTACAAACTCAATGCAATCGCCATCAAAATTCCAGCACAATTCTTCACATACCTTGAAACAACACTTCTCAACTTTATACGGAAAAAACAGGATAGCCAAGACAACCCTGCTCAACAAAGCAACATCTGGAGGCATCACCATTCCTGACTTCAAGCTCTATTATAGAGATATAATCCTGAAAACAGCTTGGTATTGGCACAAAAATAGACAGGTAGACCAATGAAATCAAATTGAACACTGAGATCAATTCACAAACCTATGAAAAGGTGATTTTCGACAAAGAAGCTAAAATTATACAATTGAAAATAGCATCTTCAACAAATGGTGCTGGTATAACTGGATATTGGCATGTAGAAGACTGTAGATAGATCCATGTCTATTGCCATGCACAAATCTTAAGTACAAATGGATCAAAGACCTCAACATAAATCCAGCCACACTGAACCTCTTAGAAGAGAAATTGGGAGGTAACCTTGAACAAATTGGTACAGGAGACTGTTTCCGGAACCCAGAAGGACAGATACTGAGATCAACAATTAACAAATGGGACCACCTGAAACTAAGAAGCTTCTGTAAGGCAAAGGACACAGTAAGCAAGACAAAAAGACAACCCACAGACTGGGAAAAGATATTCACTAACCCCACATCTGACAGAGGGATGATCTCCAAAATTTGCAAAGAACTCAATAAGCTACTCTCCAAAACACCAAAGGATCCAATTAAAAAGTGGAGGACTGAACTAAATAGAGAATTCTCAATAGAGGAGTCTAAAATGGCTGAGAGACACAAACTGGAAAACTAAGTAATAGTGGAGAGACTACAATAATAGCCCCTACCTGATAATAAGTTGGATGACTACCTTATATAGCATCCTCAAACCTTCATCCAGTGACCGATGGAAGCAGAGACAGATACTCACAGCTAAACACTGAACTAACCCCCTGGAACCCAGTAACATAGATGGAGGAATAATGAGCAAATGGGTCAAGACCGTGCTGGTGAAACCCACAAAGACAGCTGGCTGGACAAGGGGGAGCTCTTGAACCCCAGACTGATGGCTGAGAGGCCAAAAGGGATCTGATACAGACTCCATGAATGTAGTGTCAGTGAGGAGGCCTCAGAAATCTCTGGGGCCTGGGGTTGTAGATTAGTGTCCACTATGGCATAAGAATGAACTTTGGGAGCCCACTCCACATGGAGGGATGCTCTCTCAGCCTGGACACATGGGGAAGAGCCTAGGTCCTGCCCTGGATGAAATGACAGACTCTGGAGATCCCCCCAAGTAGGGCTTCACCTTCCCTGGGGAATGATGTGGGGATTGGGCTGGGGGTGAGGGGGGCTGGTGGAGGCACAAGTGAGGGGGAGAACTGGGATTGACATTTGAAGCATGTGTATTTCTAATTTAAATAAAAACATAAAAAAGAAAAAAATTAAAGAAGATACCAGAAAATGGAAATACCTCCTTGCCCCTGGATAGGTAGGATCAATATAATAAAAATGGTAATCTTGCCAAAAGCAATTTACAGATTCAATACAATCTCCATCAAAATCCCAACACAATTTCTCACAGACCTTGAAAGAACAATATTCACGCTTACAAGAAAAAACAAAAGACTCAGCATAGCTAAAACAACCCTGTACAATAAAGGAACTTCCAGAGGCATCACCATGCCTGACTTCCACCTCTACTATAGAGCTATAGTCCTGGAAACAGCTTGGTATTGGCACAAAACAGACAGGTAGACCAATGGAATCGAATTGAAACATTTTCTTTGGGTACAAGAATATATGAATATATGCATTTATATTTTTATTAATAAACATAGTTCATACTCTTTACATACTCTTAGAAACTTGATAAACAACTTGCCAAATTTGACAGATCTTCTCTCTCCATCCATTTTGTTATATTTTAAACTCTTTTCTGGCCCAGTTCTTCAAAATACCCACCTGGTCCCAACTATCACAGTGTGGTCTATCTGTGATATCACAGCTATCTCCAAGGCACAATAGATCAGTGGATAGGCGCCGTCATTACAGGGGAGATTGGTTTTCATCCATTCCCCACATCAGTCTACCCATGAGAACTGCAGTACATACATTTTAATATGTACATACAAAGGACTAGTAGACAAGTAAAACAACATCTTTTGATAAAATTATCATTTCCTTGTTTTATAAATTTAAAAAAGAAAAGAAAAATTATTATTCACCACAGTAGTTATTGATACAAATCACTATTGTTGCATATACCTGGACTTATAAATATGTATATGCATGACTATGACTGTACATAAATAAGCAAACACATCTTTGTAAAAACAAATTATCACAGCATAAAGCTACTGAGAATGAGGAAATGGTCACATGAGACACTGTAAAATTTGAGAAGTGATGATGTATATTCATAGATAATGTCACTCTCTGTTGCACTATGAACAAATAAAGTTTGTGCTTTTTCATGTGCAGGTAAGTAAACAAGCCAACTGAATATTATTTTGAATTAGGTATCAGTGTATGTGCCTTCTCATACAATCAACATATACTGTATTTCTTTCATTCATTATTTTGTTATTTCATAGCCCTGTGACAGCAATACACAGTCTCATTAATTAATATTAAGAGAAAAGATACTGTCCACCCTTCTTCCCAAATTTCATTCTGTTCCAATACCTTCCTCAGTACAAATAAAATTATTCTGCTCTTTTGAGACTTGAAATAATCCTGATGCTATGGAATGGTTATATTAGACAGATAATTTGACTTGTTTTTCACATTTACTGATTTTGTCTTATAAATTAAGCTATGAAGAAATTCCTGATAATTTGGCATTATTATGAAGTGTATATTCCTTAAAATATGGAAAACTAAGAATGAATCACTTCCTTTTCTCCCTCAGTTCCTCCAAAATATGCATATCTACCTGCGAGTAGTGGCTCTGCTTAAGACTGCACAGTGCATCCATTTTAACAGAAGACTGCTGACTTCCTTAAAAATGAAAATAAAATCCCTTCAAGTTTCTACCAAGCAATCTATGACCTGTGAATTAGACTTGCCATTCCAGGCACTTCTAATACAGAAGTCAACCAGTCATCTAAACTGTAATGGTAGAATTAGAATTTCAGTTCTGGTAGATGAATCTGTCTTTGTGAAATGGTTCAATCTCTCCGTACTAAACTCTGTTGATGGATATAATCAGACCATAAACAAGTGATAATTTTCAAGATCTTTTCTCACCAAACATATTATTTCTAGAGTCCCCTCCCAGGATTCTTTTTAAATGGTTTTCAATGTGAAAGAGTCTCTCTCTCTCTCTCTCTCTCTCTCTCTCTCTCTCTCTCTCTCTCTCTCTCTCTCTCTCTCTCTCTCTCTCTCTCAATCTCTCTCTCTCTGTGTGTGTGTTTGTGTGTGTAAGAGAAATATCAACTTGTGCAATGGTTCATGGGTCAACATGTATTTTATTAGTAAAATTTTAAATTTTAAATCTACAAATCCAATGAAGTAAACATAAAAGTATCATTTAGAACAATACAAATTTGTAGTACTTTGTATCAAACTAAAACATGTACGTAAAATTATGTCATAATTGATGAATGGTTACTAATTAGTACAACAAAGAAGAATAATTATTAATTATTAGAACCTTTTAATGTAAGCATTCATTTTACTATTACTTGAAGACACTTATTCAATTTGAATCACTAAAAACATATACCATAGAATATGAATCCAAGTGGGGCTGTGGTGGCTCACGCCTTTAATCTCAGCACTCAGGAGGCAGAGGCAGGCAGATCTCTGTGAGTCTGAAACCAGCCTGGTTTGGTCTACAAGACCTAGTTCCAGGACAGCCTCCAAAGCCATAAAGAAACCCAGTCTCAAACCCCTCCAAAAGAAAATAAATCCATACAAATAATACATTTTTATTTATCAATGAAGACTACTCTACCATTTCTCCTTATAAAATTCACAGACTAACCACAACATATAAGATCACCAAAATCATAATTTAACTTTTATCTTATTGATGATTTTAATATTAGATTCTGCTATAAATTAAAAATTAGCATAGACCTTACCCATCACATTTCCATTCAGTTGGACTAAGACTTATTAATTCTTCTGAGACTTTAAAGGACAAATATAAATAGTTAAATAATAAATAGATGTGATTTAAATAATGAAATTGATGTACCTCTTTCAGTCATCCTGCAGGCCAGAATTCACATTTTCTGGATATAATTATCCCTTAGCCACAAGAGGCCCTTTTGTTCAGATTGAAAATATGACCATTAGTTGCATCCATTCAAGTGGAACAGTCTACATTTTGTAATATTTTCATAAATCTCTTGCTCAAGCACGATTTATGTTGGAAAGATGTGTGATGCGGGGCATAACTATAAAATCGTTGATTTTTCATATGTAACTGTGTTTATTCATCCCCTTGAAATGTGCCTGCACTAACTGATGTTCAAGTTTACCTATTTTTACCTATTCAGAGACAAGAAGGGAAAATTCTGCATTTGTCCCTTCAAATTCTCAAGCTTTTAGAAGAGAATGAGTCATAGCTGCCCTTGTGTATTAGCTATGGTTAATTGGTTATTTCAAGTAAGCCACATGATTCAAACTTAATTCCCCATAAAAAGAAAAGCTCTACTGTAAATTGGGTTCACTTTGGACAGACTGAAAATTAAATAATAGCACCAGAGAGTTTGATATCACTCTCACTCTTGTACATAGTTGTGATGAATTTCAGAAAACAGAGTAGACCATTTTATCTCTGCATCTAGACAGAAAATTCCAGCTCACACAAGTTCTCTTAGAAATTGCTTCTCTTAATGTTTCCCTTGTGTAGCACCCTTTGTGCAAATTGCATTCATTTGGCAATGTCATGTTACACATGTATACTGGTAGCAAATAATCCTCCTAGTGCTAAGTTCCAAGCCTTGAATTTGTTTTGTAGAAGCATCCTGCAGAAATATGATTGGATTTTACTATAGCCTCTTATTTTGATCTTGTTCATTTCCAAAACTCCTCAAGCTGTCGGCCAATGAAATGAAACATAATTCCTGACATATATATGAATGGAGTTCCAAAAGCAGCAAACATGAAAGACCATCCATATTTTATATCAATGAGGACATTTTCTGGAACACACTTATTGCTCCTTTCAGTAGATATATATTTTGGAAAATCAACAGCATATTCCTTCCATAGTACAAACAGGCTGAGAATCAGGCTGAACAGGGCCCCTGTGAAAGAAAAGCAAATAAATAATGTGGGAAGTACAAATGGCAAAATCTTAAATTCATTTTCTATACCATAAAGAAATTTGACAAATGTTAACCCATAAATTTTTATTTTACATTTGAGAAACACATATTGCATTATATTATCTATACTTTTGAAATTTAAAAATCACAGACTAAGGATGTGTTTTCTTTTACCTCTGTACACCAGCATTTTAGTATTCCATGACTACTTCAAATTGAACTGCTTTACATATCATGAAAATAGGTAATGTATTCCTTATGTTCTCTGGTTGTCACTCCAAGATGCCCAAATATATGTAATGTACTCAGTGTTTACTTTTTCCAATTATATATATATATAATTTTTGAAATTAAAAATGTAATTTTGAAATTAAAATATAGTTACCACATTTCATTCACCCCCTCCAAACCTTCCCATTTCCCTCTCTTGTTCTATTTCAAATTTATGATATCGTTTCCTTTAATTACCATTGCTACATGTACATACATATATATACATAAATATATAAATACAACCTGCTGATTTCATTTAGTATTGCTTGTATATATATATATATATGATTTCAGGGTTGGCCACGTAGTATTGGATAACCAATTAAGGGACTCAATCCTGGAAAATACTTTTATCCTACTCTCAGCATTATCAATTCGCCTAAAGTTATTTTTATTTATTTTATTAGTTGTGATTTTAATATAATTACATCATTTTCCCCTATCCCTTCCTCCCTCCAAGTTATCTCATATACCCCTTGATCATGTTATTGAAGTTCATGGCCCCTTTTTTTTTCATTACTTGCTAATGCATATATATGTTTTTGTGTATATATGTACACATATATTTCTAAATACATAAATAGAACCTTCCCAGTCTATATAATGTTACTTGTATACATGTTTTCAGGGCTGACTATTTGGTGTTGGATAACCAGTTGGTGTGATAGTCCCTGGGAAGACAATTTCTCCTGCTCTAAGCATTCCTTAGTTAACTCTAGTTCTTCTTATAGGGTAGAGGTCTCATGGTTTTTCTCCCATCTGCTCAAACATGCCTGTTATTTTTTTCTTTTTCAGATCATGTTATTGAGGGCATGTTGGTTACTTTTAACAAATTATTGATCTACAATGTTCTATGCACATTTTAATACATTTAAAAAGAGCTCACACTCACACACAAAACTGACTAATACTTTCCCTAAAACTCCAAACCAATATTTACTGTGAACTGTAACATGAAAAATAAAAGACCCAATCTTCAAGCTGAAGTTCAGAAAAACAAAGCAGCCAGCCACTAGCTTCCTACCTCCACCTCAGGTTGAATGGGCTGATCCTGTCTCCATGAGCTCTCACCAAGCTTCAAACTATACCATCTCCTCAGCGTGCCTGGAAAATGAATGCCTCCTACTGACTACTGAAGACCCTGCTTCTATCTTTTATACCCATCTAGTTCTGGATTAAAGGTGTGTGATCTGTTGCTCTTTTAGATTGATTCAATCTCGTGTATCCCTGGGTTGCCTTGAACTCAGGGAGATCCATCTACCTCTTAATCCTGAGTCCTAGAATTAAAAGTGCGCACCACCACCTCCTAGCTTCTGGCTGCAAGATTAAAGGTGTATGCCTGGCTTCTATGGCTAGTGGCTGATTTGCTTTCTGAATCTTCAGGCAAGTTTTAATAAATTGTAAATAATATCACTACAAATCTATGTCATATGTAGATTAGGTACTGTGCTATTTTGTTTGTTACTATTTTCAGTTGAGATATCACAAGTTCCAAATGATTGTAGATATCTATACCTTACATGACCTAACAGTGTCCTATATATTGCATTTGCTCAAAAATAGTGACAGAAAATGTATCACTATTAATTTTGTTGTTTTATTAAAAATGAATAGATTATTCTCATAAATATTACAATAATTTAAATAACTCACTAGTCATCATATCCATTGCTGTCAATAGATGCATATCACTCCATATAGTTTTAAGTGAAGTTAAAATTATATTATACCAATGGCATTTTAACCTAAAAGCTTGAAACCTTAACAACAGAATTGCAGGGATTTGTAGAGTATTTTTCAATTTATGAAATACAGAAGATAATCAGATATAGAAATTTTTCACAAGCTGAAATCATAAATCAGCTCCAGGCTGACTATTAAAGAACCACATTCACTGTTATCTGCAACATCTGTAATGCTACATGAACAGCATCAGCCTTGTTAGACAAATGAATAGGATTTCTGAAGGACTGAAACATGCATAACTCCCTTTGCAAATTTCATGTTGCTAGATACACAGCACTCAAAAACAGCCTTCCATGGCTGAGGAGATTATTTAGTGGCTAAAGCACTTGTTTGGGGTGCAGTATGAGGGCTTGAGTTTGAATGCCCAAAACCCACATAAAACTGGGTACAGTAGCATGTACCTGTAATGCCATTCACCCTATAGCAAGAAGAGAGGTGAAGAGCAGAGAATGACTTACATGAAATGGTGGGGCAACTATCCCTCAGTTCACAGCCAAAAAACCAAAGGCACTATCACAAACAAGGTGAAAGGTAAGGATCAGCCCTGAGACTGCTCTCTGACCTCTACACATGCACTGTGGTAAGTGTGCACCTGCAGTCACACAAATAAACATACACAAACATACACACACACACACACATCACATACACAAAATAGAAAATTCAGTCTCCCTTTCATTTTTTCCTCTTGTATTTCTTGAGTTTACCTGAGTTACGTTCATCAGGCTGTCATCATTGCTTGTTATAATCTACTTCAAAACTTTCAAGGGTAATATGTAGGTGTTTATGCCCCCAAATAATGTTTGTTATAAATAACTGGATTTGTGAGCTTGATTAAATAATTATATACCACAGCCACAAAATTTTATTAAGGGATATATTTAAAACACTAAATGCTGTACAAAGCGTGAGACATGTTGGTGCTATTAATATTACAATAAAAGTACTATATAAACTCATGAGATTTTGAAAAGCATTTTCAAAATTAAATAAAATGTAAAGAGATACTGGATGTTTAATTGCCTGGGATACTGTATAAACAATTTAATCAATGGAACTTGTCTTTGCTATCACAATTAAGTGTATATGTTGTGCCACAAAATGTAAGTACACATTTAATGAAATCAAATGTATAATATAATATGAAGTAGTTTTGATACATACCTAATAAACACTTGAAAAATTAACTACAATTCTACAATATGACCAAATCCCTTGCCTTTCCAAGCATTGTATACTTAATATATGATTGTTTTGTTACAACACAGTTCTTTGATAATATTTTTGAAGATCTCACAGTAAAGTTATTCAAGAAAAGAATACATTTAATTTCCTTTTAATATTAACTTTTGTGTCCAATTTAGTATTAAGCTGAAATTTTCCAATTTATCCAAAATGCAAATTCATTAGAAGCAAAGGTCATTCTTCTCATTTAGTAAGTGAAGATACTATGGGTGGCAGAGATAATTCAGTTATTAAAAGCATATCCTGCTTCTGTAGAGGAGTTAAGTTTATTTCCCAGCACCCACATTGGACACCACATAGCTGCATATTAGCTCCAGGTCCAGAGCATCTGAAGTTCTGGAGACTTTTAGGAAACTGGAAAGGATGTGAGAAGATGGGATAGGGAAGGCTGAATAATAGTGTTGCCAAAATGGGCATGATGAAAATATGTTGCATGCATGTATGAAAATCTGATAAGTAAACCTATCATTCTGTATAAGTAGTATACACTAAGAAAATGTAATATGTAGTAACAATTTTTACATAATTCTATCATATTCAATTTTATGCTACATCCTATGGAAATAACACTAAGAATAAATGGGGTAGAAACAGTGCTCTTGGTTATGCAATGAATGGAAATCTTATGAGTTATTTTTTAAGGAATTAAATATCCAGAAATTTTATGACAGACCACCATAAGGATTAAGAACTTTGCATTTACCCAAAATACTCTACTAAAAATGCTACTGTTTTATTTTTTTAGTTTATAGTGAGAAGACATTTTTTGCATATGAAATTCCTGAAATTAAAATGTTAAATACTATCTTCCCCAAAACATATATGTTAATTATAGCATTGGCTGTTAGTTTAAATTAAATGTAACAAATAAGCAATTTACATTTATATACAGTTTTGTGTTTAAAGTACCAATTAGTCAGCCATAAACAAATTGTTGTAGCCATAAATTAATAGCCACACATTCTTCAGGAAATACAATACATCCATAAGAATGTAATTAAATCTTTATTGCTCTTGTAACTTTAAATTAAATTAATTAGAAGGCAAGTGAACCTCATTAAACATCCTTCTCACAATTAATTCATGTTTTATTAACATGCAATACTAACTTGAATATACTTAAATGAAAGAGTAGTCCTTTGGGGCACATGACAAATATATGGTATTAAAATGGTTTGGGAACTTAGGAAGAAACTCTGTATTTCTCCAGTGTTTAGACAGTATTTTAAGAAGAAATTCAGTTATTGCATTATGTATTCATTTATATGTCATGGAAATTGACAGCTCTTGGGTGAATACCAATGGTGTGGTAAGAAATCAAATGAATTCTTTCATTATTGATGAAATCAAAATAATCTGAGAAGAAAGGATGAATACATTTTCCGAACAGAAGAGTTTTCTTCTCCAATATCATCATTTTTGTCATGTAGTGTTATCTTCAAATGGTTCAGATTGCAGATAGTTAATTGGATGGGATATGTATATACATACGTATATATAAATATATATGCATATATATAATACATATGTGTGTGTGTCTGTATATGTGTGTAATGTAGTCCAGGAAAAGATTAGATGATTACTAAGGGAATATGAGATTCATTTGTCCTTTCAAATGACCAAGAAAAAGTCCCCCAAACAAGCACACTCAAGAACAGTAAACAAAACTCTATATCACCTCCAGCTAACAACACAATTTTTAGAATGATGTTCCT